AGAACCCCCCCCCCCCCCCCCATTATTTGCACGTGACTTCTTTGGCCTGTTGGATGGATGATGAAACCCATATATAGTCAAGAGTGACCGTCCTTGGTGGATCAGTCAAGAGCGAAATATGCGCATTTCATTCAGAATCAAGAGTTGCGCATCCGACGCGGTCGTCACCTCTTGCCCCCTCGTAATTGATCACGCGCGCGCTGTAACTTTGTGAGACGCACGATTTAGTGACATGCACAATAATAATGGACTGAATCCGTCTTTTAAGATCTGCTTTTTGAGCCGACGCGTATTTGACAGTTTGAGTCACGAAGGGTGAGTCCTGGATGCACCGGCATGCGGGGGTGCAGCAAGCATGAGCATTTGAGAGCTCTTCTGCGTTGCCCAGCCTCCAATCGAAGATTCTTCCTGCGCGTTGCGGAGCATCAGAGCGTCGTCGGTGCCCCGTCTTGCCTTGTGCTATGCTGGTTATTATAAGGCGTTATTCCAACACGGCCGCGGAGAAGAGGGAAAAAGTGCTGAGTTCGTGGAGCTGATGCGCATGCTGCTGCTCGCACAGGCAGAGCAGGAAGTGTTAGACGCGCATCAGATGCAAGCGTCGGGCAGCTATCGCGCGCATGCAGTCCAGCCCATGCATGCGCATGCATGCAGGGATGCGAGCGAGGGAGACTCAAGGCATCCTAGCTGCTGATGGTGTGCGGTGCGATGCATGGCACAATACGTCCGGCCATCATCAGCCTGGCAGCTGCGCCACGCATGCAGCGGGTTTGTATATGGACAGGAGCATTGGGCTGCGTCAAAATAACTTCGCACAAATCCGACATGTGTAGACAGACATGCCTCGCGCGGCTGCGCTGCTGCCCAATCTGCAACCTTAGTATGAGGATGCGCTTGCTGATGCTGCCGGCTGCCTTCAGCTTGGTTGCTGAAGCCAATGAAGCCAAGCCGGGCGCCGGTCGAGGCACAACTAGATCCAAGGAAAATGTCTGTCGTGTTGCGCTCAAATGGCCAACAGACCCCTCTTGAGCGCTGCTTGTGTGCGTGGGTGCATGCATGCGTACACGCGCATGTGTGCACCTTCGCGCGGAGAAGGGGGGATCGAGGGGGCATCGCATATCCTACGCGGGTCTGCTGTGCTCTGCGTGCAGTCACGAGTGGGCAGTCGTGAATAGCGCATGCCCGACTCAACGGCGCGGCCTGGAAATTGTCGTATGAGCGACAAACAAGCTACGGCGTATGGCTGAACCCCGTACGCTGGCCGCCTGCATTCGCTCCCTTCAACACTCCTTCACTCCTCCGCCAATCCACTCCGCTCACACAAGTCAACCCCCTTCCTATTACCCCGCCCTTTCCAACTTGCAACGTATTGGTCCACGCTCCGATCTTATAGCCCTTCCTTTCTTCACTCGCCAGAGTATCCCTTGACGTCCATCCGACGACCCCTTCATCTCATCACGCCCTCGATCCGAGTCGATCGATTACACACTCATTATCGCACAATACTGCAATCCAGAGCCACGTCTGCTTTACTCAGCATCCTCTCTTCAAATCCTCATTTGCAACATCAAGATGCGCTCTAGTCTCTTCGGCATCCTCCTCTCCGTCTCTTGCGCTGCAAGCGTGTTGGCGTCTCACGATGGTCCTGCATCGCCCCACCAAGCCCTGATGCGCCGACAAAGATCGAGCGGCAGTGGTAGCGCAAGCTCAAGCGGAAGTGGTAGCGGTAGCCCGTCTTCTGGCAGCGCTGCCGAACCAAGCAGCCCTGGACCCAACGACGTGTTCAAGGCTGGAGACCAATGCACAACTCAGTGGAGCCCTGCATCGGGCAACAAGTGGAAGAAGATGACCATCAGTCGTG